AATCTGGGGTTCGATTCTCTGTGGTGGACACAGCAGATAGCCTAATGTGGCTTTGCTTAAACAACATTTTGTTTTTGCTAAGAACCTATCACTTCTTGAGTTTTTGGTTTACAAGCATTTCCTTCTTTTTCAGCTTAGTTTTTGTAACCTATTTATGATGTTACATCAAGTGGTTTAATCACTCATTTGCTAATGACACGATGCCTTGAAAACAGCTGTAAAGAAAGTTTAAATATGATTGGATAGATCAAGAATTAGACAATCACATCATAGTAGAGTAAATATAGTGGTTTAAGCAGGGTGCTGATTTATAGGAAGGGATGTGTAGTTTAATTTATTCTTAAGATGACTTGGAATTTATGTTTGTTGATGTTTGGTTCTTTGTTTAAAATTACAGTGTTTGTAATAGACGTACTCTTTTTCTTAAGTTACAATGTTTGTAAGTATGAGGTTTTTTTATTGTGTTCACCAGATCAAATGATCATGAAATCAGATAAGTTTATTTAACTTTAGTAAGTATGGTAGGTGATGGCTAGTTGTTCTGATAACTGAAGTTCTTATTTATGGAATATTACTTTTATGTTTATCCTATTTAAACAATTTACTTAAATAATTTGGCTTACTGGCTACTTAATTATTTCTAGTTGCAATTGTGATAAGTTTCAAATAAAAACATTATTACTATTGTTAGTGATAACAAAACTATCACTTTATTTGATTTACACAAGAACATTGGGGAATTACTGCATATTTGAAAAAGAAACAAAATGTGACACTGTGGTCGACTCTAGTGGTACACTTTAGGGATTCAACAAGTATGATATTGTCCAGATTAACTTGAAAAAAAAAAACTTACCAATTTTTTTTTTCCACAAAATGCACAAATGGTAACCAGCAGAAGATGTCTATAATAGTAAATAAAAAGTAAATCAAAAATTACTTAAAAGAACAAAATTAGCTGAAAATAATGTTACGATAATGTAGTTGTTCTAAGAGTGCTGATTGTAATGCACTGCCATGTTTTTTTTTGTCTGCTTGATGGTGATCAGTGTTTAAAGGAAAATGTGCTATAGTACCAGAATGCTCTACTATTCAATGAACTGAGTAACAAACACCACTAACTTCCCAGCTCTAGTAGTAATCAGAAAGATGTTATTCATAAAAGCAACTTGCACTTAATGTGCCTTGAGGATACATCTGTAAGAGCTTATGCTATTTGAAGCTACACGTTACCAAAAATATTAACTTGTGGAAAGTAAGGTTTCCGGTAGTTTTTTTTCTTTCCAAGTATATCTTTACAGTAACTACTGCTCACAACAAAAGGATCATAAGCATGATTTTTTTTTATTTATTTCTCTTCAATTGAAACATCTTTTCACTTTGCAATTGTAAATAATGGAAGGTATAGCATTGTCTTTATAATGTGTCCATAGTGTTTTATGTTCATTTCCTACACTTTATTACAACAAACAGCACAGAAAAAACAAATTTTTTGACCAGGAAAATGAAAATACTGCTCAAAAGGACAAATAATGTTGAGTAGTTTAGAGTGAAATATATTACTGATATTTTACCATCATAGACTGGAAGCCCTAATCCACAGTGATAGTTTTAACATATTTTAGGTGATTCATAGTACATAATTCTTGTCTCATCTCTTCAAAATTAACTTTTTTGAAACTTGGAACCAAAATCACAATATTCCTTATATCTATACACACAGCAAAACATGAATCTAATTGAGGAGTGGTCACTTGCACCAAACCTCTACCATATCAACCATTTCTTTATTAGAAGTTAACAATAAATCTAAAATAGCATTGTTCCTAACCAATTGTTGAAAAAAAAAAAAAAACATGCTAAACAGCTTGTGAAAACCTGCCTATTTCATGATATGACTGTAACATTAGTTTTATCTGGTGGTCTGTAACAAATTCCAACTAAATGTCTTCTCCCCTGATAATTACTAACTGTAACCCAAATACATTCAACGTCATTGCTATTAGCTTTGATATCCTAAACTTGAACAGGTTGTAACTCACATTTTACATATTATGCCACTCCTCCTCCTCTTTTTAGTACTCTTATTTCTATTAAACAACCCATAACTCTGTATTTCAAAGAAACTCTTTTTCATCATAAATGTCTTATGTTTAACCAGGTTTCAGTTATTCCCATTATATCAAAATCCTCTGTTCTGACCAGTGTTCTAAAGTAATCCATTTTATTTCTGATACTTCTAGCACTAAAATAATGATAACAGATTAGCCTACCATTGAAATTACCTTTGTACCTTGTTCCCACACTGTATCCCTCTCTATATCTTATTTATTTTTCATTATTTTGGCCCTCATCACTGTCTAATCCTAGTTTAAAGCTGCATTTACAGCTGAGTTAAATTGCTCTTGCAAACATTCCAGCCCCTACCCTATTTAAGTGTAAATCATCCAATACAGAAAGCTCCCTTTTCTCAATGATCTGATCCCATAAATCCAACCAGCTAACTTGCTCATCCTTACATATTAAGCTAAGCCAAGCATTCAGTCCTAGTTTCATCCCTACAGTTAAGCCATGGCAGTATACCTGACAGAATTAAGTTATTATGGATCTTTTCTTTTAATGCTTTTATTAATGCCTTGTACTTAAGAATTAACTCCTCTGATCTATCCTTCCCTACATTATTTGCCCCTGCATGGACTACAAAACATACATTTTGAAAAAGCTTAGGCTGTGTGCCAAAACTTGAGTGTGATTTTGATTTCTTGTGAAATTTAAGTTATACCAATTTTTATTATTTGTTTTCAGTTATTATAGTGATGGCAACCTTATTGGAGATTTTAATTGTTTCCATGAGATCATTTCATTGGTTGTGTTCAAAAACAGAATTGCTTCGAAGCTGCTATGTATTCTCAAGATGAGAACAAAATACTTTTCCCATGCTCTATAAGAACAGCCACATTCACATATAGCAAGAAAAGATCTTGCTTAATTGTAAAGGTGCATCTGTGTCTTTTTATGGTGGATTCTATGGAGTTTCTTTTTTATTGTTAGTGATTTTATTTAATGGAGGATTTTTTTTATATGATAGATTTATTAAAAAAATAAACATTTGTGTTTTTCTTATTTGTTCACATAGGATTCATTTTCCACAACTATAGGAAATATTATAGGCATGTGGATACCATTTGCCAGTTCATCAACTAAAAATTTCAAAACTGCAGATAAAACTTTTCACTCTGCCTTGTTATGATTGTATAAAGGTCAAGGTGAATGCTAGAAGAGTGATTGTGCTGGCTAATAGCTAGGCTTACTTCCATCCACATCAACTTTGTGGGTGCTTGTCAGAGCACACATATTGTTGCTCAGATCACGTAGCATGGGTGCCCTGGATTCGGCCCCGTGATCTTCAGATCCTGATATGAATGCTTTATCCACAAGGATTCTGAGGTGCTTGATGATTACTTTATTCAGTAGTCAGTAGCAATTTTTTAAAACCTACCACTGAAGTGGCTGTGTAACAATTAAACAATACAAGATTGCTGTGCTCTAGTGTTGAATGCAATTATTGTAACCAGCTAATTGCACGTGTTAAAGCAAAGAAAGGAATATTTATTGGTGAATTGACATTCAGGTAACTGATCCGTTCAAGCAAATTTTTCTTAAGTTGTAATGTTGTTTAATCTGTACTTCAGGAATATTAATGGTAGATTGAAAACTGTATTAGAAGTTTCACATATAAGCAGCATGAGAAGTTTTATTGTGGTGCATAACTGTCAAAAATGAGTTACTACAAACAATTAACAGCTATTGTAGTGACTGTGGTGATCCTTAGCTGAAGTCTAGAATTATGATACTATGATACAAAACATGTTTTTAATCACTTAAAAATAGTTGAACTTACCCATTTAAAATATTGTGGTTAAAATCATAAGCTCCCTGGTCAGCGGAAACTGGTTAAAAATGGTTGTTATTTTTCTGTATAGTAAGTAAAAAATCTGGAATCAATATGTAAACACAATAGCCAAACGAATACCACATGTAGGAATTTCTTAGATATGTAAAGCTGTTGAAGAGTGTTCTGAATAATAACTTTAAATTTGAAAGCTTAGAGTATGATTCTTGTTTTTTTATTTTCCAGTAATGTTTGTTTTGTGGATTTGTAGTAAATATTAATTCTTCATCTATTGTGAAGTACTTAGTATATTTTTCACTTATATACATTTTCTTAGAATTTATCATGAACTTCGTATGAAACCAAGCTACCTACATATAGTAATCAGAACTAAATAGTTAACCTAATTTAATATACCATTTTAAATTACAGTGATTAGAATGTGTTAATTCATCATTTGGGTAGCCTCACTTATAGCAACATTTTTAGCCATAATCCCAGTAATAATTTTGCAAGGTTCAACGAGATTAAGAGATTTAGATGAGTCCTCAGTAAAGTTTTTTGAACTAACAGTGCCAAATAATCCCCATAATAAAAGATATGTACAATAAAAAAATAATAAAATGGATTATATATATTTTAACCTATACTGTTAAAGAAGTTACATGAAAGGAAGAATAGGATATAGATTATTTAAAAAAACTCAAAACTGGTTGTTTGCTTTATGCATTATTACTGATTCTCTATCTCTTTCCTGGATTTTCTTTGTCTATCCATTTTTCATGTGTTTTACTTGTGTACAAATTCTATACATTTTCAATAGATAATGTTTTTTTGATTATTATGATACAGAGTTTCAGTTTTTGTGAAGTGATTTCATTTTGATATAGTGTATGTATTCATTGTACACATACAATATATAGTAATTTTTGACCGATGTCATATTTCAGTTAAAGAAAAGGTGTTTTTCCAGATTATACTGTAACAAAACAAGCAAATTAGGATAAGGGAACTTTAACAAGGACATTTTTGTTTAGGATTGTGTACTTTGTTTTATTTTGTGTTGAAACACTGTTAGTGATGTTTTTTTTTTTTTCACTTCTGCTAGAGCTTATTAACAGATGAGCAGTTAGCTAATTGTCCAGTACTTATTTTGGGGAATAAAATTGATATACCTGGAACTGCTAGTGAAGATGAGCTGAGAGCTTATTTTGGACTTTATGGACAGACAACAGGAAAGGTAAGTCTTGCATCTTCAAATTGTTTAGAGGTGACCACTGATGGATAATACTAACTTCAGTGATCCTTAGAACTCTTAGGTGTTACAAGTAATTTTGATTTGATATTTGCTGAAAATTATTTCTTTGAGTATCTGCAATTTTGTAGTTAAATATAAATTTCATATGTAGAATTAAGCTTTAGCATCTAATTTCAAACATTTATGTAATATTGACAGGGGGGGAGTCATAAAGGTTAGTTCTTAAGTGGCTCAGTGGTAAATCTGAAGGCTTATAATGCTAAAAATTGGGTTTTGATACCTGTAGTGGGCACAGAACAAATATCCCATTGTGTAACTTTATGCATAACAAACAAAACATAAAAACCTAGAAAGTGCTTAAACTGGAAAGGTTTTAAATTCAAATCGTTTGAAATTCCTCTAAAAACTTTATCTAGGGTTATTGAAAACTACCTGACTTAAGCTTTGAAACAAAATATACTTTTTATTCTCTGTAAATAAAGCAGTGGAGAAATATTTTCTGTACCTTTTTTGTTAGCAGTTCATTAACTCTACCTAATTATGTCTTGTAATATCCTGTCAAATATGTTTGTTATTATTTGTGTATACTTAGGCATAGCTAAGCATATGCATGTATGCTAGTGCATAACATTGAAAATTTAAGATGTGAATTTTCTTTGCTCTAAAATCTTAAATATAAGAGTTATAAACCCTTCTGCACGACAAATTTGTTTACATTTAATTAAGTTTTGGCAATATATTCACAGAATGACATTTTTACATCTAAAATGAACATGTGGTATACAGTATAAATATGTTATTCTAAAAAGGGAAATTTGGAACATTTCGTTAATTGACATTGATAGTGTAATGATTTTATGAAAAAGTATCTTCATTTTGTTATTGTAATAATGGGTCAAATTTGATCATTTTTTGCCATTTTATTCCTTATAAAAAATATATTGATTAATGCAAAGATATTTGTAGAATAATTATTTGAACTATTGATGCTGATTGTTTTCTCCCAACAAAATGTAGGAAAAAAAAAGCTAATTATCAAAATGTAATGTTTTACAATACTTTACATGGGATTATTTTTTTATAATTGTATATGCAAAAAAGGTCACCAGACTGTGCACTTTGAGGCTTAAATTTCTAAATTTTCCAGGAGAGTACCCCACATGCACACAAACACATACACACACTGGATTTCACAGTAATCTGTAATAAAACAGAATTCATGTGAACATGTAATAAAAACCTCACATTTTCCACCACGTTATCCATTTAGTGAGCATCATTGCTGTTAAGGTTAATGATAAGGCATGAATGCACAGATTAGTTTATACATGAGAATTAAAATTTGAGATCACACAAGCTTCAAGTCAGTAACTGCTTATCAGGTAGATGCTTTTACTAATTAAGATACCCAGCCTTGAATGTTGCAAGTTTCAGTTTTCACTTGCTTGTTTACCAGAATGTACCAGGACTTTTGAGCTATGCCAGTTTACTTGTATGTATAAAGCTCATAATTTGTTTGTCATTTTGACTGGAAGTATCAGTTTTAAGTGTAAGCTGTATTTTAGTATAGTGAAACAAAGAATTTTCCTCTTTTTTTTTTCAGCTGTGGTCAATGTAATATATACTTTTATATTAAAATTTGAATAAAGATCTGTATCCTTGACTTTATCACGTCATTGTTCTCAATGCAAGATGGAGATTTCTGGATTGACTGTATGTATGCCTAAGATATAATTATCCTCATTTTTTGCATACCCTATTATGTTTGTGCCATTTGAATGTACAAATGAGTGCTTCTTTATACAAGTTGCATGTGCACATGGGCTCTTTGGTATATATTTGCACCAGTATACTGCATTTTGATGGAATGCTGTTCATGATATACATTTTGTGTTACTATGTATAGCTTTATTACTGTATCATCCTTAGATGTGGAGTTCTAGGTTGCTCTGTGATGTAAAATGGTAGCTAAAGTTGTACATTTAGCACCATTTACTTGTGAATTTTACTATGGGTCAAAAAGAACAACTTAAGCTTTTTTAGATTCGTAACACCTTGATAACTACATGAACAGCAAACAGACCTCATGCTATACTTGTTGAACCTGCACTTTCCACAACACAACACAAGTGCTTGCTTGTGTTTTTGTTCCCAGTTTCTGAATTCAGTTCATGATACATAGGTACATATAAATACACAGTCATATCAAAACTAACATTAAAAGCTAACTATGAAAAATGCAAGCCTGTGGTATATAGGTGCACTTGAACTTATGAATATAATGAAATTATAAAATAAATTAATATTAATATAGTACATTGAGATTCCTTTAAAAGACCCCAATCCTATTACATATATATAAATAAAAGTCAATAGTTTCTGAGTAGGAGGCAGGTTAGTAGGTAACCTTGAAATAAATTATTTTCATCTCTCAATGAGGTTGTTTTTGTGGAAGGTTGAGGAAAAAAAATTGTTTTAAGCACTTTTTTTCAATTCATATTTGCTTGCACAACTGCTTGTAAATTTCAAAAGACAGCTGCTAAATCATTTTGTCAGTCTACAGTAAAAACTTTACAGTATATATGTCCATAGGTTTTGAAACATTAGAAAACTATCACTGCTCAGAACAGCTTGAGGAACTTAGGTTATGCTAGCAAGTTTGACAAATAACATTGCACAATTAAAAGTAAACTTATGAAACTGCTGAAAAAAATTGAATTTGGTTTGAGAATTTCTTCCATACTCAATATTTATAATCAGTACATTTCACAAAATAAAAAAATCTTTGATATTTCAGAATTTTTATAGGAATGTGTATTGTGAGAAAAATTGTTATTCACTGCAATGTTATTATGTGTAAAATTAACCCCCCTCCTCTGTTTGTAGTCTTGAGTCTATAGAACCAAAAAATGGCATTAAACTATAAAAGGTGTAGCTTGTGGTTATTTCAAAAATTAAAGATTAAAGCAAATTCACAGTGTATGTTGGGTAATTAATGTTTTACATTTGTTTTTAGGGAAAAATTGCTCAGTCAGAACTTCCAGGACGACCTTTGGAACTTTTTATGTGCAGTGTGTTAAAGAGACAAGGCTATGGTGAAGGTTTCCGGTGGCTTGCACAATACATATGATTATTGCATCATATCAGTAAATGTGTAGGTTCAATACTTTGAGACAAAACCAATGATTCATTACATAAACAAAGTAAATACATCTGTCTATAATAGAACTTGGTATAGGAATGAAAAGTTTTCAAGAACATCTAAAAATATTTTTCCAGTTACTTCCCTTTTGATACATTCATATCATTTGAAGCAAAATATATTAGTTTTATTAATTTTAGCTATAAATAAAGCAAGATAATCTTCTTGGCATCTCAATCAGTAAAATAATTATATACATAAATTATATATATATACACACACACACACATCTATATATATTATTTTAAAATATTATTGATTTTGAAGGAATGTTCTACTGAAACTAAACCATTGGAAAAAATATTTAATCTTTTTATTAGAAAATGGACATTCTTAGCATTATTTATTTTGTTAAGTTTTATCATCTGTAAATTACTGGAGAGTTCATAAAATTTAACTTTTATGAGAATGAATAAAAATTCTTGAAGAAGAAATTCTTATTTTATTAAGTAAGTGAGGAGAGATACTTTGATTGAAAATAAAGTTTTAAACTCAAAAATTTATATAAAACTAAGTCATAAGCTAATTCAACTAAAAAATTAGAAAATGTGCAAAAATGCTTGTAAACTCTTAAAGATGTGCTTTTTTTTGAGGCAATAAACTAGCAATTTTGAACACTTGAAAGATTGACAATTCAAACATTATTTTCCATGAGTAACATGAATTCTGTCACGATAGCTACATGTACTGAGCTGGAATTTTTTTCTTATTGTACAAAGTCTCTCTCAATCTGCAGTCTCTAACAATGAAAAACTACTCTTGTGTTAAAAAATAAAAATAAGTTGCGTATTCACAACTGGTGTTATCATTTGTCTGAAATCTTTGTACTTAATTTAGAAAATGTAAAATTTTAACTTTGTTCATCCAGTAAACTAAATATTTGTATTTTCTGAAACACCAGTAACAGTAGCTTAATAATGTTTGTGCTTTTAATTATGCATTAGCATAGATCACGTGGCTGTTACTTTTTGATAATTTATCCTGATCTACAGTCATAAGAATAATTTGTATACACCAGTCAGTTCTCAAACATGTAACAGTTTCTTAGACAGAAGTGGTGTATTTAAGTGTTTTACACTCACAAAAAAAAACCTATCATTCTATAGGTATTTGAACTTGTAACAT